AGTAATAACAGTACTATTATTAGTAGTAATAATCGTATTAGTAGTAATAGTAATAGTGCTGGTATTAGTAGTAATAGTAATAGTGCTGGTATTAGTAGTAATAGTAATAGTGCTAGCATTAGTAGTAATAATAATTGTACTATTAATAGTAATAGTACTAGTATAAATAGTAATAGTACTAGTAACAGTAAAAATACTAGTAATAGTACTAGTAATAGTAACAAATACGAATAGCTGTACAGTACGAACAGTACAATAATACTAGTAATAGTATTAGTAGTGCTAGTAAAAGTACTAGTAGCAGTAGTGGAAGTATATGTGATGATTATGGTAGTAACACCAGTAGCAGACAATATCAACTTAACCTTCATTATAAACAGCACTTAACACTGCAAAGTTTTCTACGCATCCTGGACTCGCCTCACAGTATTTGTCGAGCCGGTAACATGACCGGAGGAAATGGAGGGTGGTGAGAGAGCCTTCTGCTCTATCCTAATTTCGACTACTGGTATTTCCCAGCAGATAACTTTAACATGATGAAACAATGGATGGTACTGTGGTGTCTCCCCCCCCCCATGTACTCCCGTTTCACTATACCCTTCCTACCATTTTCACTATACCCATCATAGTACAAGATTTCACTCGCTATAGGCAAATGCATAAGTTTATATATATATATATATATATATATATATATATATATATATATATATATATATATATATATATATATATATATATATATATATATATATATATATATATATATAGCATATGAGAAGTTTTTACAAAGTAGAAGTGATGCAAGGAGGGAGGAGTATATGGAGAAAAAGAGAGAGGTTAAGAGAGTGGTGAAGCAATGTAAAAAGAGAGCAAATGAGAGAGTGGGTGAGATGTTATCAACAAATTTTGTTGAAAATAAGAAAAAGTTTTGGAGTGAGATTAACAAGTTAAGAAAGCCTAGAGAACAAATGGATTTGTCAGGAGAGGAGAGTTATTAAATGGAGAGTTAGAGGTATTGGGAAGATGGAGGGAATATTTTGAGGAATTGTTAAATGTTGATGAAGATAGGGAAGCTGTGATTTCGTGTATAGGGCAAGGAGGAATAACATCTTGTAGGAGTGAGGAAGAGCCAGTTGTGAGTGTGGGGGAAGTTCGTGAGGCAGTAGGTAAAATGAAAGGGGGTAAGGCAGCCGGGATTGATGGGATAAAGATAGAAATGTTAAAAGCAGGTGGGGATATAGTTTTGGAGTGGTTGGTGCAATTATTTAATAAATGTATGGAAGAGGGTAAGTTACCTAGGGATTGGCAGAGAGCATGCATAGTTCCTTTGTATAAAGGCAAAGGGGATAAAAGAGAGTGCAAAAAATTATAGGGGGATAAGTCTGTTGAGTGTACCTGGTAAAGTGTATGGTAGAGTTATAATTGAAAGAATTAAGAGTAAGACGGAGAATAGGATAGCAGATGAACAAGGAGGCTTTAGGAAAGGTAGGGGGTGTGTGGACCAGGTGTTTACAGTGAAACATATAAGTGAACAGTATTTAGATAAGGCTAAAGAGGTCTTTGTGGCATTTATGGATTTGGAAAAGGCGTATGACAGGGTGGATAGGGGGGCAATGTGGCAGATGTTGCAAGTGTATGGTGTAGGAGGTAGGTTACTGAAAGCAGTGAAGAGTTTTTACGAGGATAGTGAGGCTCAAGTTAGAGTATGTAGGAAAGAGGGAAATTTTTTCCCAGTAAAAGTAGGCCTTAGACAAGGATGTGTGATGTCACCGTGGTTGTTTAATATATTTATAGATGGGGTTGTAAGAGAAGTAAATGCGAGGGTCTTGGCAAGAGGCGTGGAGTTAAAAGATAAAGAATCACACACAAAGTGGGAGTTGTCACAGCTGCTCTTTGCTGATGACACTGTGCTCTTGGGAGATTCTGAAGAGAAGTTGCAGAGATTGGTGGATGAATTTGGTAGGGTGTGCAAAAGAAGAAAATTAAAGGTGAATACAGGAAAGAGTAAGGTTATGAGGATAACAAAAAGATTAGGTGATGAAAGATTGAATATCAGATTGGAGGGAGAGAGTATGGAGGAGGTGAACGTATTCAGATATTTGGGAGTGGACGTGTCAGCGGATGGGTCTATGAAAGATGAGGTGAATCATAGAATTGATGAGGGAAAAAGAGTGAGTGGTGCACTTAGGAGTCTGTGGAGACAAAGAACTTTGTCCTTGGAGGCAAAGAGGGGAATGTATGAGAGTATAGTTTTACCAACGCTCTTATATGGGTGTGAAGCGTGGGTGATGAATGTTGCAGCGAGGAGAAGGCTGGAGGCAGTGGAGATGTCATGTCTGAGGGCAATGTGTGGTGTGAATATAATGCAGAGAATTCGTAGTTTGGAAGTTAGGAGGAGGTGCGGGATTACCAAAACTGTTGTCCAGAGGGCTGAGGAAGGGTTGTTGAGGTGGTTCGGACATGTAGAGAGAATGGAGCGAAACAGAATGACTTCAAGAGTGTATCAGTCTGTAGTGGAAGGAAGGCGGGGTAGGGGTCGGCCTAGGAAAGGTTGGAGGGAGGGGGTTAAAGGAGGTTTTGTGTGCGAGGGGCTTGGACTTCCAGCAGGCATGCATGAGCGTGTTTGATAGGAGTGAATGGAGACAAATGGTTTTTAATACTTGACGTGCTGTTGGAGTGTGAGCAAAGTAACATTTATGAAGGATTCAGGGAAAACGGCAGGCCGGACTTGAGTCCTGGAGATGGGAAGTACAGTGCCTGCCACTCTGAAGGAGGGGTGCTAATGTTGCAGTTTTAAAAACTGTAGTGTAAAGCACCCTTCTGGCAAGACAGTGATGGAGTGAATGATGGTGAAAGTTTTTCTTTTTCGGGCCACCCTGCCTTGGTGGGAATCGGCCAGTGTGATAATAAAATATATTATATATATTTATATATATAATATATATATATATATAATATATTATATCCTTAATATAATGCATAATGTAACATCTAAGAAAATATAAACAGCAATACACATATATACACTGCCTTCACCAGGGTATACAGTGAATAAATCGAAATATAAACATCAATATACATGCCACAAACACTAATATACATGGTAAATAAACTTACCTTACCAGACATATGATCATAATCAAGACAGATTAGATAACTGATAAGTTTCTTACCTTGAGTAACTTAAAATTAAAATGAAACACTTAAAATGTTAAGTGTTAACAGGTCAGGTTAAATTATTTATTATAAGTGTTAAGTGTTAATACTGGTGATGCATGTACAGTACTAAAAAGATGTCAGGTAGTTCAGATGCTGAGATGTCAGTTCAGATACTAACATGTTTAATTAACAGTTCAACTACTCATAAGGTCCAGTTATACTATTGCTACTATCGTGTACTGGTGTATAAGAACTATCAGTAAGAGGAGAAAGCAACAGCTGCAGCAGACATCTGTTCACTGCCTTTAATATACATATTGAGCAAACCATAAACAAAGGCGTTAATTTCCCTCTCATATATATATATATATATATATATATATATATATATATTATATATATATATATATATATATATATATATATATATATATGGGGAAGTGGAACAGAATTCTTCCTCCGTAAGCCATGCGTGTTGTAAGAGGCGACTAAAATGCCGGGAGCAAGGGCTAGTAACCCCTTCTGTATAAATTACTAAATCTTAAAAGAGAAACTTTCGTTTTTCTTTTTGGGCCACCCTGCCTCAGTGGGATACAGCCGGTTTGTTGAAATTACATATACATATAATATATATATATATATATATATATATATATATATATATATATATATATATATATATATATATATATATATATATATATATATATATATATAATATATATATATATATATATATATATTAATAATAATGCTGCTGGTCCACACTTATGTGTAATTAAGTCAAAATATATAGGGCATGTTTTTGCTGTCACTACATTTCGCTGTGTCGAGCTTATAAAGTCTAGACTGAATGAAGGTCAACTCAGAGCCAACAGTTGTTCCTATGAATGCTCGACTTGTCTTTACATATACTCTTGTTCCCATCAATCCTGTACATCCAGCTGGTGCATACTCCTTGCCCTGGCGTGGTTATTGCACATGCAGAGTGGTGTTCAGGCCTTGTATACATGTTTGTTATGGAGTGTGTGCGAGCAGTCTACAGTCTACAACCAGGTCTGGGGTCTTTAACAAGCAATCCCAGTCTGAAACAAGCCAACACCAGCCTGTCTATCTTTTACAGCTACAAAAACACTAACTCGTTTAAAGGGGCTTCCATCGTTTAAGATTTGATGTTCCTTATTACAGTCATAAGGCTCCTCTATATATCACAAATTTTTCGCAAATGATACTGAAAAAATACATGGAAAATAAATATCGCCTGGAAAAGCTTCGTAGTATATTAAATTCTCGATGCTTTTTTTCTAATAAGTTTTTTTCCCCTATAATATACCTTCTCCACAATTACTATTCCATTTGCTTTGTCTGCTCTCGTAAGGTGAAGTTCAGGATCGTTCCTTAATTCATGGTATAACTTAAATCTTTGATGACAATTGTCCCCAAAGATTTGTTAAGTTATACCGTGAATTAAGGAAAGATCCTGGACTTCACCTTACGAAAGCAGAGTAAATGGGATAGTAATTATGGACAAGGTAGATTATAGGAGAAAAATAAACGTATTAAGAGACAGGGAAACTCACGCTCCTCTTAATTCCTGGTATCACATTCACTTAACTAGCATGACAGACCCATACTCAAAGGGGCGTCTGAGGGCTGGCTGGTATCGGCTTGAGCTGTGCATAGAGGGAAGGTGGGCAGTGTAGGCCGTGTGAGCAGTGTAGGCAGTGTGAGCATGTGATAAAGCCAGTGAGTGTGGGGGGAGGGGGGTGACGAGCTATAAAGGGAAGGACAAAAAAAAATAAAGGGGGCAGAGAGAAGGAAAAGAAGACAAGACTCACATGGGCTTGTCGTCATTAGTCCCTCGAGACTCGCTTAGTGTAGCCAACATAACACGAGACCTGGAAATATACACATAGTTAACTACCACCACCGCTACGCCTCGCTCCGCTAACATGCTATGCAGAAAAAAAAAGCTGTGGAATCTCAACATGTCCATTTAAGCTACAAACCACAGATAATAACACAAGACTACATTTAATAAAGGTAACAGAAGGATGAAAAGGCATATTGTCGAGATTATGAAGCCAAAGACCCAAGTTTCAGGAGCTACAGCTTTAAGAAATAAGACACATGTGCAACACTTGGGCTATCTTTATTGGCGAAAGGTTTCGCACTCATATCAAGCTTCTTTAGCTGAACATGGATAATATACAACACCGACAAGATGAAGAATTAAGACACGTGCAACATCTGGGTATCTTCATTTTTAAACGTTTCGCCATCCAGTGGCTTTATCAATACAAGGGCAAAGTAAAGAATGCAGAATTATATACAAAAGATGAGGTAATCTGTCCCTCAGCCTTGGGGTTGGTAAAGAATCTGAAGCACAAGCATGAAGCTTCAGACCTGTGCTTCACAGACTACGGTGCTCCTACATTCTTGACATTGTATCCTTGTACTGATAAAGCAACTGGTTGGAGAACAGTCTACAAATAATGATAACCAAATGTTTTACACGTGTCAAATTCCTCTTCTTCAGTCCAATATAACACCGGAGACAGCAACAACAGTGTATATCTGAGGTAATGAGTCCCTCAACAATAAAAATACCCAAGTGTTCTACGTGTTTCATTAATTAACTCATTAAATACCAACCAATTATATAAATTTACAGCATTATTAAGTGACGATAAAGTTCTACTGAGCTCAAACTTGTGGCAATACAAGCATGGTCTACAACTTGTGTCTTGACGTTCATACGAGGCCAACCACAAGCCACTCTTGTAACACTAATGCAATATATACAGTGACCTTGAAGAGAGGAAGACTCGATCTTTCAATATATTTTCATATATGCAATAGTTCAAGTTCTAGCACTAAAAGAGGGAAAAAATCACAACACACTTTTCTCATGGAAGAAATTTAAAAATAAAACGAGTGATTGAAAATATTAAAAAATACCAGAATGAAAACAGGTATTCCTCTGAAGATGTGTACGCACACGAAAGCGCTCTGGTTTTATTTCCTGTTTTCACTGTGGTAGTTTTTTCACACTATTCTCATATATAGATAAAAAAAAAAGTTGTCATTTATATAACACACGAAAACAAATTAAAAATACATCAACCACTTTTCGACAACAACAACAACAACAACAACAACGACAACAACAACAACGAGACAACAACCAAGGGGTAGAAGCAGTTAAAATACACCAAACGAGTTGGTCGAATTACATACTGTGGAAGCAAATATTTTGGACCTTAGTAGAGTGTGTAAGTCAACTGTTCTTGGGCCCAGAGCCTCGTGCATCACTGAGTTAGGTCTACACAGATTCACAAACCAAGATAACTAATAAAACACAGCCTATATACACCCAGACGTGTATGTCTCTCAAGGTATACACGCTCAGAGTTTACTGTTAACCTCTATTTTAGGTACTGAAGTATTCTTGACTGACTCACGAAATCGTAATGACACGATTGCAAACAAGCCACGGTACGGGTGGTGATTGAACACGCGGTGAGCGAGTCGTGAAACTCCAGGCCAGTGCGTATGGCACTGGGTCAGCTGACTACAATAAGATTCATCCAACTAGGTATATTTATACACCATAGGAAGGTTAGCATGGGCCACCACTGTGGCCATAAATAGTCACAGTGGTGGCCCATGCTAACCTAATAGATTTATATGGAACCTGAACATGTGAACCTCCAGTGGCAAGTAATAACTTCAACTCACACTCCAGGTCATTCCAAGTATTGGTCAACATATCCGGTGTTACTTGTTCGCCGCCTTATTTACTGTGTTAATGTCCTCTACTTCTGGTACGTGGAAGAGAATGTTTCACAAACTATAACAAGGTATCTAAAGGTATATCAGAGAAGCCTAAGAGCAAGGCATTTGTCAGAGCAATCATGACTAATCCATCTGCAAAGGAGCTTAATACTGTCAAGTTAAGTAAGTTTTATCAGGAAACAGGACAAGTGTTTCCTGGTGCAGGTCTTAGTCATATGACGACCCGCAGCTGGAGCTTTTGGTCATCTGACCGAGGCCTTCCACTGGCTTAACACTCCATCCTTTCAAAAATTATGATTATTAATAATCTTATAACAATTATATTACCGTCTGCAAAAAAACAGTGTTGTCACATTTTTTTTCCATTTTACTGTAGTAAATCTATGAACTCAAAATTCAATATGTGGAACCATCTTAGGAATCTAGTATGGAGCGATTCTTTACCTTCCAGTGTAATAGACATCTTGTTCTCCTAGGTCAGCGCATCTTTGACAACCTAATAGATTAACAGATTATCACGTGACCAAAAAAAAGTCAGAAGAGACTGCTGTTTTTTTTATACGAGCAAAACATCACCACTATCAACAAATCCTCATAAACCATCAATCGTATTAACTGGTTTTTTAAACTGACGATTAGAGTAACAAGAAACAAATCTCTAATTTATAAAATGATTGTTCAACGTTATATTTGGTTCAGTCAGAAAATAAAAATAAAAACGCAAGGCGGTGTGTAAATTATAACCATAATTTTTAAAGGGGTGGACCAGTAAGCCAGCGGAAGGCCTCGGTCAGATAACCAAAAGCTCCAACGGCGGGTCACCATCTAAGACCAACAACAGGAAACACTTGTCCTGTTTCCTGGCAAACTTTACCTAAGTAAGCCGGTGTGGAGGCTTGAACCTGGTGCCAGTCAGTGCAAGACATACCTCCCCCCCCCAGACACACACGGGACCCACCTAGCCATCAATGTCATTCTGTAGAGCATCAACCCAGAATCATTATTATTATTATCATTATTATTATTCTTGTCTTGCGACTCATCTGCCTCAACTCGCACACTAACAACTAACTTGACTGGCTCTCACGAACAATGTAGAAATTTACCACGCTGGCTTAAAAACCGGGTAGGTCTACCACGCTGGCTTAAAAACCGGGTAGGTCTACCACGCTGGCTTAAAAACCGGGTAGGTCTGCCACGCTGGCTTGAAAACCGGGTAGGTCTGCCACGCTGGCTTGAAAACCGGGTAGGTCTGCCACGCTGGCTTGAAAACCGGGTAGATCTACCACGCTGGCTTGAAAACCGGGTAAGTCTACCACGCTGGCTTGAAAACCGGGTAGGTCTACCACGCTGGATTGAAAACCGGGTAGATCTGCCACGCTGGCTTGAAAACCGGGTAGGTCTGCCACGCTGGCTTGAAAACCGGGTAGATCTACCACGCTGGCTTGAAAACCGGGTAAGTCTACCACGCTGGCTTGAAAACCGGGTAGGTCAGCCACGCTGGCTTGAAAACCGGGTAGATCTACCACGCTGGCTTGAAAACCGGGTAAGTCTACCACGCTGGCTTGAAAACCGGGTAGGTCTACCACGCTGGCTTGAAAACCGGGTAGATCTACCACGCTGGCTTGAAAACCGGGTAGGTCTACCACGCTGGCTTGAAAACCGGGTAGGTCTACCACGCTGGCTGAAAAATTCAGGAGAATTTTACCGGAATTACACGAAAGCCGGGAATAACTTGGTGTCCATCAAAGTATACCCTTATTTCTCTGTTAATTTCACCTCCAGTGTTTAATAATTCAAGAAAGGTTCAGAAAGTTACTGGACTGTTGTAGGTGTTAATTTTGCTTTAAAAATCGGGTGGTGACAGTCTCTACTCCGACAGCCCCGCCTGAAACCCGAGGTTTTATGTGTACGATGTGTGTCTGGGGGTTTCTTTAACCAGAAAGCACCAAGTGGCTGTGCTGTGGTAACCGAGTCCAAATATCGTCGTCTTGATCTGTCTCTCTCTCTCTAACCAGAAATTTTCTAGATGTTTGTCCAGCTGAACGAAAAGGTATTGTTTATGATAAAGTCCAACAAGGACTCTGAAGTTCTCAAATCCTGGTGTAAATTTTCATGCGTGTAACCAGCGACACATTTTTCAATCATCGTTATGCTGGTACTATGCATCAATATCAGCCATTTTATATGTTGTAATGTATTACATTTCATGTTTGAAAAATTCAATATAAGAAGTTGTTTTTGTTCAACATTGTTATTCAAGAATTTTCTGCAAAATTTATGCTATTTTTCGTATCGTTCACATATCTAAGAAGCTAAGGCCAGTGATATTATCTATATCTGGTACGGAGCTAAGAAACAGTGAAGGCACCAGGAATGTACCTTCGTATGCTGAATTTTCTTTACTTTGCTAAGGGTAAACTTAGCTGTATTTATTAGTACTCTGTGTTGTTCTAGTCACAAAATTTAACATCCATTTACCTACTTTTCTTCTTGTACCAAATGACGTCATTTTTTACGTGCTATCACTCCAAGGTCGCATTTGTCAAACACCTTTGCAAAATCTTCTGATTTTAACTTTTTCCAAAGGCTTTATAATAGTGTCAGGTGTGAGACACGTGATCTTCACGCTCTAAATCCTTGTTGATCTGTGTTGTGCAGGTCATGATTTTCCATAAAGTTTCTAGGCCTTTTGTGTATCCATATACTCTCGCGCTACCGTCCTCTGGAGGGATATGAGATGCGCAATAAACTAGCCGCTGCCATCCACAGGATGGATATGAGGTGCACAAACTAGCCACTGCCATCCACAGGATGAATATGAGGTGCACAAACTAGCCACTGCCATCCACAGGATGGATATGAGGTGCACAAATTAGCCACTGCCATCCACAGGATGGATATGAGGTGCACAAACTAGCCACTGCCATCCACAGGATGAATATGAGGTGCACAAACTAGCCACTGCCATCCACAGGATGAATATGAGGTGCACAAACTAGCCACTGCCATCCACAGGATGGATATGAGGTACACAAACTAGCCACTGCCATCCACAGGATGGATATGAGGTGCACAATAAACTAGCCACTGCCATCCACAGGATGGATATGAGGTACACAATAAACTAGCCACTGCCATCCACAGGATGGATATGAGGTGCACAATAAACTAGCCACTGCCATCCACAGGATGGATATAAGGTGCACAATAAACTAGCTACTACCCTCCACAGGATGGATATGAGGTGCACAATAAACTAGCCACTACCATCCACAGGATGGATACGAGGGCACAATAAACTAGCCACTACCATCCACAAGATGGATACGAGGGCACAATAAACTAGCCACTACCATCCACAGGATGGATACGAGGGCACAATAAACTAGCCACTACCATCCACAGGATGGATACGAGGGCACAATAAACTAGCCACTACCATCCACAGGATGGATACGAGGGCACAATAAACTAGCTGCTTCGGCGAAAAAATCTAAAATGAAAATCGTCACCCTTTCAAAGATTTTTGACAATATGTGATTTTACTGATACTAATACTTTATATATTGCCGGTAATTGTACCAACATTAATACAATCTTTACTGATACTGTTGAAGTTTGTCATGGCTTCAGTTCCTCAGTGCAGAGTGCCAGCTATGTCTGCACTTCCAAAGTTTTCTGGTATTTCACTTAGATCTAAGTTTGTCCTCCAAGAATTCTGTTTATGGTAGGGATACTTATTATTGATATCTTGATAAGCAGCTCCCGTCAATCCGGCCCAGTGATGCGTATGTGGGCATGTTTTCGATTTTTTTTTTTTCGAATTCTCTGGGATTTGGACTGAAGTCAATTACATGACTTATAGAACAGGCGGAGGTTATGAAATATTTCTGTATCTACCGCTCTAGTTTCCTTTAATGGCATCACTGGCATTTGTCACATCAGTCAGTGAAGCTCCTGTGAGTAATACGTCAGCTCTACGGGTCGCTTACTACTTGGACTTAGTGTACGTGTAGAAATATTGAAGACATTTGGAAGTGTTCTATACGGTTTTTTGTTCCCTTTGTGCTTCTTTTATTTGGTATGAATGATTAAGTCTGTGTCCTGTATCGGTAATCTCTTGATTGAGATTTACTCCCCTTCGTAGGCGTACCAGGAATGCAACTCTGGAGTCATCCAGTGGCCAAAAACACGTCTAGTTATATATAGGGAGGTACCACCTCTAGAACTGACTGGGGATCCACAGCCACAGAGAGCAGAGAAAAAATATACTTCAGGGAAAACTCGAGATTCTCCCCGGAGCTGTTTCAATATTTTTTCCTACCACTCATGTGTGTGTTTGTGAACTTTATTTGAAAACAATATATAGTAAGAGAGATACAATGGGAAGGAGAACAACGTGCATCACAGGACCTACATCTCAAATACTTCATCCCCCGCTGTGGGTTGTGTGCCCAGAATGCTGCAGGCATTTCCTCTCTGAATCGCAACACTAAGCCTTTGAAAAAGGAAGGTGGTCGCTCTGATGGTCCTTGGTTTCCATGATGAATTTGTCACCTAACTTTAAGAAATCTGAAAGTACACCTGTCCCATGCTCCTAGGGCTTCCAACTCTATTGGGACGAAGTTATAGCATGGTGGAAACCCTCTATATTTGATCTGCTGGGTCCTCCTGAAACTGGTGATACTTCCTCCTTCGGCTTCAGAATATGGTAAATGGGTGTCAGCCAACGTAGAGGTACAGACGTAGTCACAAGCAATCTGCTCACAATCCTTCCAGGGTTGCACGGTGACTCCATCTGGACGCTTTTGGCTTCCATCAGGCCAAAAGGAAATCTGAATGTGGTACCTTCACCGCTAGGAGAAGAGCTGTGAGGCTTCAGGAAGGACTGTTCACAAAGCTGGAATTATTTCTTGGTTTGTTGACACTATCACTTTATAAACTTCTGATTCTGGGAAAATTAACTGTCTGGTGATGAGATCATCATCAGGGTTGTTGTTAGTGACTCTGGTCTCCCTGGTTGGGTGTTTGTCTCTTAGTGCTTGAGATGTGGCCTCATCTCTGGGAGCAACTACGTCGTTACTTGTGATTATTCTGACTGTTCTTACTGTAGTGCCTTCCTCATTTTTTTGCTAACCTGTCCAGAAATCTTTCCACTTTCAGTGGAATTTTTCTTCTCCCCCTCGGTGATTTCTACGATGATGAGACAGAAGGACACAATTATCTGTTCTTCGGTAGTTGTGCACTGCTTTGATGACTGATATGGTTAGTTATTTCTACCCTCTTGCGGGATCTGTAGGATGCGCCAAGCCTTAATGGTGCCTCGGGCTTCTAAGGCTTAATAAGGTATGTGAATTTCCGTGCGGCATATGAACGTGCAGCTTTAGGAATACGAGACAGTCCTGTTAGCAGTGAATTTGAATGCCATCAGATCATCGCAACAGAGGAGGTTGTCAGTGGAGTTTTCAGTTGCCTGTGGAGGCCGTGGGCTGCTCTCTGCGGGAAGCATTTGTGACCCAGCACACTCATTGTGTGCGTGAATAATTCCACTCCCAATGAGGGTCAGATGTGCTCTCTCTCTCTCATATATATATATATATATATATATATATATATATATATATATATATATATATATATATATATATATATATATATATATATATATATATATATATATATATATATATATATATAGCAATAATCGAAAACGAGTGATAACAGATGCAAAACAACCACAAGGGGAGATTGAGTGATGGCTCTAGGCCTTTCGTGTCCCAACACTTTTTCAGGACCTTGCAATAGAGTTAAAGAAGATAAACTCAGGCAGGTGTGTCTATGACACACCTGCCTGGATTGATCTTAACACCTTGACTGAGGGACTGATCACCTTATACTACTACTACGCCTCTTCAAGTGTCTCCGTTAATTCTCTTAATCAGATTGATAAAACCACTGGTTAGTGAAACGTCTGTACAATAAAGATACCCAGGTGTTGCACAAGTGTCTCATCCATAGAGTAGGCATACACAGAGCAGCAGAGCTGGCATATGTCTTCGTGTCTACAGTACCACTGGCAACACCTGCGGTAGGACAACACCTTCAGTAGGACAACACAACAATAACACAGCTGATAAGACATGTGAAATAGTTTGGTGTCTTTTTTCCGAAAAACAGAGATGTAAAGACATCGTTTTTACATCTCTACTGCTTCTGCTCACTCTTCTGTACTCGACTGAAGAAGCCTACTGTGTAGGCGAAACGTTTCGGAATAAAGTTACCTAACTGTTGCACATGTATCTTATCAACAAGTCGGTACTGTATACCATTTTAATATCCAATAACAGCCACCACCATAAACAAAAAACTAAAACACCGCAATCTCCTCACACACACACACACCATAAAAACACACAAAACAACCATTACCAATTAAAACCACCACAATTCCCTTCTATCCACCGAAGAATTAACAGCACATCTAGTATAGCAGAATAGGGGGAGAAAACCACGACAACCATCACTACCATTCCAAGTGAATCCTGGAGCACAAGTGGGCCACTTACCCCTCGGAGGCGATGGAAGAGTTGCGGGACATGCTCTTGGGCGACATTTCGAAGTCGGAGTCGCTCCTATAAAGGAAACTCTCCCTCCGTTGAGGGAAGTTCTGCAGGACCAGTCCCGCGGAGGGTGAGGTGCCGTCAAGCGGGCTACGTCCTGGGGAGGTGCCATTCTCAACATCGAAGCTGCGGGAGAGAGAGAACACGAGTAAGAGACAGATACACATGTCAGTGTTGTGAGTACGTACACACACACACACACACACACACACACACACACACACACACACACACACACACACACACACACACACACTCAATGCTAGCTAAAAAATCCACGAACAGTAAAACGTGCATTCTACAGTAAAGAATGGCAACGAAATGCCCAGTACAAAGAAATTCCCATCGCAAAGAAATACCTATTACAAAGTGTGTACGTACTCACCTAGTTGGGGCTGCAGGGGTCGAGTCACAGCTCCTGGCCCTGTGTGTGTGTGTGTATACGTACGTACGTGCTCATCTAATTGTGATTGCAGGTGTACTGGTGGAGGATGAGCGTGGGGGGGGAGCCCTCCCTCCAGTCATGGCACTAATGACAGGCTTGAAACCGTGCGTCACACACCTGAGTGTGACAACCCAACAAGGGTTCACTAGTGTCAGCAAGACGATAACATTAAAAGCAGTCCCATAAAAAAAATGTGAATTATGTGGCATTTAAAAAATGTATAGTATTTACAGTGTCCTCAGGTGTGAGGATTCACACCAGCGTGTGGGGCTCTGGTTGCCTGGTGGTTAACGCTCTCGCTTCACACGGTGAGGGCCTGGGTTCGATTCCCAGTCAGAGTAGAAACATTGGACGTGTTTCTTTCCACCTGTTGTCTATGTTCCCCATCAGTAAAATGGGTACCTGGGTGTTAGTCGACTGGTGTGGGTCGCATCCTGGGACACTGACCTAAGGAGGCCTGGTCACAGACCGGGCCGCGGGGGCGTTGACCCCCGGAACTCTCTCCAGATAACTCTCTCCAGAAGCGTCAACTAAGGAGGGAATAATAATCGAACTTTACAAGTATATGATACAACTGATACAGACAATAGCTTACATCAGTGACATAATATATAGAAAACCCTATGTTATGCAGAGCATTTCGGGCAATTTTGTCCCCTAGGATGCGACCCATATCGGTTGACCAACACCCTGGTACTATTTTATTGCTAGGTGAACAGGGACAGCAGGTGTCTTAAGGAAACACATCCTATTGTTCCCAGCCGTACCGGGATCGACCCCCTGACCTCATGTGTGAGCCAAGTGCTCTACCAACGAGCTACAGGACATGACGCTCGTCTCTTACGCCAAGCCAATAAACAATGAAATACGTAGATAAGTAGTCAGATAAGCAAATAAGCAATAAAAAACGAGTAACTGGAGAAGCAAAATAATCAAATGTGATATAAATGGTTTAGAAACCCGACAAGTAATCAAATAAGTAATTAGATAAACATATAATTGAGTAGTTAAAGAAGTAATTAGATAAGTAATCAAATACGCAAACAGGTAAGAATAACAAATAATCAAATAAGTAATCAAGTGATCAAACAGGAAATCTAATACATAAATAATCTGATAAACAAGTAAATAAGTAATGAACTAAGCAATCAATAAGTAATCATGTTATGTTTTTAAAACTACAGAAACGTATAAATATAAAAAATGAAAGATTCCTACCCCCCCCCGTGTCTACGGTACTGTGACTCACGAACTCGTCATAACACGATTGTCAACCATGGTACGGGTGGGGACTGAACTCGCGGCAAGTGAGTTACTTGCCGAGAGTTCAATTCTCACCCGTACCGTTGTCGTGGGGGTTCGGTAGGAGATATGATGGATAAGTTTAACTCACTTGTTGGATGGTAACGATATATATTGTCAGACTGTGGTAAGGAAGGGATGGGCCCAGCCTGCCGTGTTACTGCCTGGATGTCTAAACGCGGAGTGAGGACGAGGCATCGCCTCTCTCTCACTCATGCTGTATCCCGTGACGTCATACAGTCACAGGCCTAGGGATCTTCTATATAAAGCACATGGATGGTACTATAATGCTCAGTTAATCTATACATACAACACATGTAAAGGAGGATCAGCAACTATGCTGACACCGTTGTTTTTCTGCAATCGTGTCGCTACGATTTCAAGAGTCATGATGTCGGCCTTGTGGGGACATGAACTAGAGCTCGTCACAGCCACGTTGGTGAGAGATATTCCTCTGTAAAAACTTGCATTTGTGGTCACAGTGCTAACATCTGTATGGTGTATAAATATACCTACTTGGATGACTCTTATTGTAGCCAGCTGAGCCACTCGCTTACACACTGACCTGGAGTTTTACGACTTGCATGAGTTCTAACCCCACCTGTACCCTTTTTTTTTTTGTACAGTATTGTCTTTGGCTTCATTTCTGACTTGACAATAGTCCACAACTGACCGAAATGTCGACGTAAGTCTCCAGAGGGCGAGTTAATGAAGTGGACCAAGAGCTTTCCTAAACGGTTAACAAGTTTAGTCAGGTGCAGGTACACATACAAGGGAGGTTAAGATAACTCTCCCCCAAAAAGTAAAATCGACTTATTTCCACAGGAGTCTTTGTAGTATATGCCTAAGGCCTACACCAAGATAAAAAAAAATTATTTCTCCCGACTGACCAAACATCACCTCTGAGATAACCCAAGAAATTCTGTGAATTATTTCCTTTTATCAAAAAAGTATAAAAAAAAAATCATGGTGGGGCGCTAAACCAAGAAGAGTCTGTCACGTTTTCTCTCTTCATCTGAGACACAGAAAATGTGAACCTGCTGATGTCAACATCCTTATTACTTAAGACAAGTAATGGAAGTAAGTCAGTGTTATCCTAGGCCGAATCTCTATTGCAAACGCACTCACCTCACACACTGAGGTCCGGGGGTCGATCCCCAGTACGGGCGGAAACATTAGGATGTGTCATTGAGGTCAGCTAGGCCTGTACACCTTGTACGTGCACTTGGCCTCAAGAACATTGTAAAAATGTTTATATGTTAAGTAAGGTGCAGGTACACATAAGTACACTTATCATACACAGTTTATCATACATGTAAATTACCTACGATAATCCCCAAAAAGTCAGATACAGTGACTTGTTTCCACTGAGGTCGACTTTTTTTCCACTAGATCCTTCTAATATCTTATTTAAACCTTAACAGTTAAAAACTAAGTAACTCAACTACGTAACAAGCAGTTACAAGTCCACTGGGGTTCTTATATCTTAATATTTAAAGCCTAGCTGTAAGTTACAGTAGAAATCAGTCATGATTATAATTAAAAATTAAAACAGGTAAATAAACTATATGAAAATCACTAGGTCAAGGCATTGGTTTAAGCCGGTGCGAGAATTGGACCTGCCTCGCATAGGCCAGTAGGCCTGTTGCAGTGTTCCTCGTTTCTTATGTTCAATGGAGATACAATGTTATATACTAATTTAAAGCCTAAATATTCAGAACATGTTTTTAGTTAAAGTAATTTACGCCCATCTTGCTAAGACAATTGTAATCTTCTATTATTATGTAATTATAATCAAATAAAACTTTTTCAGTGTAATAAGGTCAGGAAGCTTAAATGCTTAAGTTAGTGGTGAGTTGTGCCACGTTTTCTCTCTCCAGCTCCGTCATAGAAAGCGTGAGTTTACAGGTGCCAACATCAATATTTTAGGGGGATACTTGAGTATACAAACGTCTACAATTAATATGTAGATTTTCATTTACGTTTTGTGTGCATAAACATTTTTAACAAAAAATTTTGAGAGAACACATGTATTACGGACAAAGCGGCAAATTTAATCCATATTCATTTTTGTGTACGGTAGTATCAAAAAATATGCATACACAAAGGCCTAGGCACTCGGGGCCAGGAGCTGTGACTCGACCTTGCAACCACAAGCAGGTGAGTACTAAGCCCCAAAAGTTTATATATCAGTTGAAAGAAACATTTATATTTGTTTATATTTATGATATCTTAATATCATTAATAAGATACCTTGACATATCACATAGGTTATCACGGTGTAAATCTCTATAATCCGTAGCTGGGTTGAAAGCACACTGAGATCCGGAGATCGATCCCTGGTACGGGTGGAAACATTAGGACGTGCTTCCTTAAGACACCTGCTGTGCATGGTGTGGGTCGCATCCTGGGACAAAACTGACCTAATTTTCCCGAAATGCTCAGCATAACAAGCAGCTTTCTATACAGTAGGTCATTTATGTCAGCTATGTGATTCCTCTAAGAAAAAGGAGGAGTAGATGTAAAATAGAAAGAGACAGGCGCTCCCTTTACAGGCGACGGAAAAGAATAACAGAGCGGCTAAAGAGGTCAATATATCTGAAATGCGTAAGGAGACACTGGTCAGAGAAACAGCAAGCATCGAACTCAAGCTAAAGGAATCTTATAGGAGTCAGGAATCGCGGGAAGAACTAAAAGCCATAAATGAAATCGAAAGAAACCCAAAGTATTTCTTCTCCTATGCCAAATCAAAGTCGAGAACAACATCCAGTATTGGGCCCCTACTTAAACAAGATGGGTCCTACACAGATGACAGCAAGGAAATGAGTGAGCTACTCAAGTCCCAATATGACTCAGTTTTTAGCAAGCCGCTAACCAGACAGAGTCGAAGATCAAAACGAATTTTTTTGAGAGAGCCACAAAATTTGGTTAACACAAGCCTATCCGATGTTATCCTTACGCCAAATGACTTCGAACAGGCGATAAATGACATGCCTATGCACTCTGTCCCAGGGCCAGACTCGTGGAACTCCGTGTTCATCAAGAACTGCAAGAAGCCCCTATCACGAGCCTTTTCCATCCTATGGAGAGGGAGCATGGACACAGGGGTCGTCCCACAGTTACTAAAAACAACAGACATAGCCCCACTCCACAAAGGGGGCAGTAAAGCAACAGCAAAGAACTACAGACCGATAGCACTAACATCCCATATCATAAAAATCTTTGAAAGGGTCCTAAGAAGCAAGATCACCACCCATCTAGAAACCCATCAGTTACACAACCCAGGGCAACATGGGTTTAGAACAGGTCGCTCCTGTCTGTCTCAACTATTGGATCACTACGACAAGGTCCTAAATGCACTAGAAGATAAAAAGAATGC